GTACATAACGCGTATTCTGATTTGTCGAAAGCCGTGTTTGGATCAGGCCATCCAAACACGGAAGACTACCGTGTTGTTGTTATTTAACTCTCGCAACATTCCCGCGTGTTTGGATCAGGCCATCCAAACACGGAAACCATAAAGTAATTGTATAGCAATTCGATTTCAATTCCCATGCAGGGGCCTAAAACCTTTTATGCTTAAGAATTGCAAAGTGATTTTTTGGGGAAATTCCGAGGTTGTGTTTTTTTATACACCCTGTATAGGCATGCAGAGATTGGCTACACCACAGTATAAGAAAGCTAAAAAAGTCGTTAAAAAAGTCGGTCCACATTGTTTACTGGCTGTCAACCTAATTTACATATTGGCAGCCAGTAAACGGCAGTTCACTATAAGAGTAAATGATTTTGGCCGTGTAAGACACCTGGGACCTAGCTTAAATAATTCTCACTTTTCTCTCCCCTAAGTGACCCTACTGGTTGTGTCCCTATACTGTGGCTATACTGCAATGCAGAGATTGGCTATGATTTATGGGAAACTACATCAATGAGATGTACATGGTTATGATGGGGGTATATACAATGGATTTAGTGGGTTGAAATTTCTCATGAAAATTGGAACAAGAAAGTTCACTTCAATTAAAAAGATATGGCAATATAGATTAAGTTTGTTTTATTTGAAAGAACATTTAAAATGATATATAAACATCAATTATTCCGTAAAACAATAATTCCGTATGTTGCTTGGTTTTCAAAATAAATCGACTTATTTTGATCAAAAGCAGCGTCCGCCATCTTGGATATGCATTCGATATGCGCATACGTCACAACATAGTTAATGGATAGATAGTTTGGAAACATATTAGAATAACAATATAACTCGTTATCTATATGTTAGTCAACGTTTATTCATAATATGGTCTTTCACCGTCACGTGTGTATTGTATTTTTGCCAAATCCATCAATAGCAATTTTCAATTTACCCTATTGTTCGAGTCACGGATAGGTAACTTTCCTAAAGCATTGCTATTGGTTAGTTGGGCAAAAATACAATACACACGTGACGGTGAAGGACCAGATTTATGAATAAACGTTGACCAACATAGATAATAAGTTATATTGTTATTCTAATGAGTTTCCAAACCATCTATTCTATTAACTATGGTGACAAGTAGGGGGTAAAAAGCGAAATTTTTATCTTGCAAACCACCAGGCCCTGGGGACGAGGTCGGCAAACCACGTCATTATCAATATGAAGTTCGATTTTCCGAAGTTTGTTTAGTACTCAATTAAGTCATAACGTGTTAACTGCTTTTCGAAGAAATTTAGTCCCACATGAAGAAGTTTTAACAAGTTGCCCTGCTTCTAACCTTATCAAAAACTCAATTAGATCAATTATAATACCAAGATGGCGGACTGCACACTGTTTTTTAATGACAGTAGCAACATTTTTATATAAGTACAAAATCACGTTTTAATACATTTTAGCTTTTATATACTAATTAAATACTTAGTTGTAAATTCACCGCAATTCAAATTTATGCGATGGTGAATGTTCTTAAACATGCATGAATAATAATAATAATAAATATATTGAAAACCAAGCAAGGCGAACAAGTTGTAAAGGTCTTCACATGTAACTTTAAAAGTTCTTTCAAATAAGACAAAGTTAATTTTTGTTGCCATGTATCTTTAATCTTAATTTTCTTGTTTGATTTCTTTCTTGTCATTTTTACAGTACTTTATAACTTTTGATTTTTTAAAATCTAGAGCCAACAACCACAACAAGCACAGAGTAGAAGGTAAGTCAGTCTAATCTATTTTTTATAGAGCGCTGTTTGAGGCTGCTTTCCCTTGTTACCCAAGTTATGAACATGTATCAACATGTATCATGCTTTCACCACGTATATACAGCTATTTCAATTAAGGTTGTCCCCGAGCAAAGCGGAAAAGTCGAATACTAGCGCGACTTTTCTGCTTTTAAATTTCAATTGATAAGTCCCGATCTTCATCCCACCGTGCTAATAATAAACGACTTCAGGGCCGTAGAAAGATGATTAAAGTTAGGGGGACTGTCGCGGTTTGACATGAACTACCTGAAAAACATATCTCAAACGTGGTGGTCCAGTGTATATAGGTAGTATTCTACAATCTCAAACATAAATAGCTAACTTGCAATAATCATTTGTCCCATGTCTCCAGAGAAACGAGCTAAATTGTTTTCAAAATCCATATGGAAATAGTATATGGATCTTCATAGTATATTAGTGTGGAACTGTCGAACTGATGGTATGAATTAGTGCTGCCGAATTACAAATTCCGGCATAATGTAATTTTACTATGTTTTTAGTGCCAGACGCCGCCAAAAAAAAAAAATCAAGCGTCTACGTCAAGGTAGTGTATAAACCAGTATATATTTTGAACTATACGTTTTGTAGTTAAATAATTAACAATCTAGTTGAGTATGTTGTATAAAAATGTAGTTAACGTAAAATGCAGTCAAAGATTTGACTTTGGTACGCTAAGTACTATGTACAGCATTTGATAAAAAAGTCTTGACGGAAGATCAGCTAAGTATAGTCATGGATAATAAAATACATGGATAGGAAACTAGCTGACGTGACCTAAGTTTTCAATGGGATGATGGCGTTGAAACCTAGTTGCAAACTAGGTTTAGACTATGACGTCAGGAAGTTTCCTATCCAGTTATTTTCAATCCATGGTATAGTGTTGGAACAAATAATTTGTTAGTACGTTTTCTAGAAGAATTGTATTCTGTTACCATCGCTTACATTTTGTTTTTTCTTTTACAGCTGCAAAGTAAGTATATATCCTTATTTAAATCGACTTTACCATGGAATCGCGCGTTCTGACGTTCGGGGTCACCGCGGATGCGGATTTGCCAGCATGAGCTCCACCTTTGAATTTACTATATGAGTAAATTCTTAAACACGTCCGAATTTATCATTATGATAAATTCGCGGCAAATTTTGAATTTATCATAATAATAAATTCGCGGCACCTAACACTAACCCTAACCCCAACCCCAACCCTAACCACTAACCCCTAACCACTAACCCCTAACCACTAACCCCTAACCACTAACCCCTAACCCCTAACCACTAACCCCTAACCACTAACCACTAACCACTAACCCCTAACCACTAACCCCTAACCAAAACATGTTGCCAAACTCCCTAATGTATGTGAAGGTGAGAACTGTAATACTATAATCACAAAATTATTCAGTTGTAATTTTCGGACAGTTTGAAGCGCCCTGGTTTGGCTCGTGCAATTGCCTGGTCACAGAATAGATACCGGACCAGAAGGGACACTCCTATGTGTTTTGGCTGAAGGAAAACGTACGAAATTGTTTTTCGTGCTGTGACGCCATCCTGGAGTGCACACGGAACTTTGTACCTATGTTTTCCTATAAAAAACTTCCGTGTGCACTCCAGGATGGCGTCATATGATGGCGTATTTTCACGTCAGCACTCGTAAAATTTCGGACAAAATATCGTCTGAGTGACACTTCTGGTTCTGTATCTATTCTGTGGCCTGGTGTTGAGCCGCTTTTCCACTTCAAGCGTACCGTACCGAAACGTATCAAAAAAGTTTTTAAATTTCAAAATTTCATGAATGTTGATTGGTTAATACTTCCGTTGTACGCCAAAAAGTTGACTTGCGACGAACTTTTTATTTTGATACGCAAATACACTTGGAAGAACGTGGATTTATAAACCTCTTTTCAATCTGCGCATGCTCACAAGTACGTTTCGGTACGATACGGGCGAAGTGGAAAACCGGCTTAAGACAGAGTGTGGTGATGAAGTAGGGTGCATTTGGTCACACTACAGCGTAATCGGTTAACATATGCCAACAAGTTAGCCCTGTATAAATATAGTATTCTGAGAATCTCAACTAATAATATGCACTTTGTTTCTTACAGTAGACATGAAGAAGGCCAAGGCCTTCCGGTAAGTACCTACACATTTAGTAAATGATTATAATTGCTCAGATATTTATCAACTTTCCCGCTTAAGACCTCGGTCATACTTACAGTATGCTGCTTTCTTATTTCACTTTATTTCGTCATTGATTTGCCTCGTCACTCGACATGCTCGTTTTAAAATTTGTACCTAACACGTCGAGATCTACTAAGGAGACTACGTTTATTCATAAATACATGTAATGTCATATTTTAGTTGGCATTTTGCATCTGCTTGCAATCCGTTAGTACTAGTGTAGATACAGGGTGTATAAAAAAACGCAACCTCGGAATTTCCCAAGAAATCGACATTGTAAGTTCTTTGTATGATTGCATGACGATAAAATATATAATAGTTTTGTCTGTGGAAACACCACGTAATTTTATTACTGCAAAGCTTTCGATCGTATTATTAGCACTGATGAAGATCCGGGCTTACGGATCGAAAGCTTTGCAGTAATAAATTTACGTGGTGTTTCCACAAACAAAACTATTATAAATCGACATTGTTTTAAGAGCGACTGTCTACAAAAATCAAACAAAATGAGAAATATGTGGCAAGGCTCAAAATTTTAAATTCGCTCTACTTTTGAATATAAGTTGACTATGGTGAAGTGAGAAACGTTATGAGGTTAGTTTTTAAAAATACTCTTTTGTTTATGAAAAAAAAGGCAAAAAAATGTTTCAGCTGTGAGGACCGATTTTCGCAATCGAAAATGGCCGAAATTGCGTATGTTTACTTAATCCTGGTATCCAAACCGTAAATCCAAATAGCCTTATTATACTTTCTGTTAAAGCTACATCACTCCCTCGTTTATTAATGGTGGTTTTATGATAATTGAACAACTGAACACATTTGTGAAAAATAAAGAGCGACGGGTACTGATTTTTAATGTTTGTCATTGCATGTAAAAAGTGGCAGATTTCTCCATTTGCCATCCTTTCAAATCTTATGGGATTTTGCACAAGCACTATTGCGAAACTGCCCTTTTCAGAAATGTATTATTTATTTTGGGCAAATAAATTCACACGCTTTGAGAAAGAGTTAACTTTGGTTCATTAAATATGCAAAATCACTGTTTCGCGATTGCGTGACTAAATACCCCTTGCAATCTGAAACTCACTTAAAACATCATTGTTCTTCACCTTTAGTTTAGAGAATTTGAAGAAAGCATAAATATACATACCTTGAATGCAAAAAGTTCCTTTGAGTTGTTCCACTTTTGCAGTTAGCCCTAACTTAACCACATATTAAACTCAAAGTTCAAGGAGTCCAGCAAACAGAAATCAGCTAACAATGTGACGGATATTAATTAATCATGATAACAATAGCATAGCGGCGTGCGGATCGCATTTTTTCGACAATAATCCACATAAAAACAATATTAAAAATACAGGTAATGCATCACAGTGGCATTACTTTCGCCAAATCGACAGGAAGCCCGCCACCTAAAATGTAAACATTTGGTGACAAATAGCTTTTTCAATATGTCAGTATAAAAATAAAATAGAATTTCTGTAATATTAACTTTGACTGTTTGTTTCTAAGAATATTAATAATTGTAAATAAAAGTAAATTACAGCAATAAAAAAACCTCAATTCGCAATAATCCACTTAATAGAAAAAAAATATTAAAAAAGAAATGACAACATTACAGTAATACATCGCAGTGGCATTACTTCCGCCAAATCGACAGGAAGCTACCCTGGGTGCCAGAGGTTTTTCCACGCTCGCAACGCAAAAAAATATAGTGCTCGCCCGTCCGTCACTATATTTTTTTGCGTTGCGAGCGTGGAAAAACCTCTGGCACCCAGGGTAACAGGAAGCCCGCCACCTATAATGTAAACATTTAGCTTTTTCGATATGTCAGTATAAAAATAAAATAGAATTTCTGCATCATTAATTTTGACTCTTTGTTTCTAAGAATATTAATAATTGTAAATGGAACACGAATGGAAGTTGTGTGAATTGTTAGCTGATTTCTGATAGATTGGATTCCAAGAACTTTGAGTCGATGTATAAGGCGGAGATGTAAACAACCGAACGGTCGACAATATTAAATTCCTGGTATAAACTCCAAAAGTGGAACAGCTCAAAGAAAATTTTTTCATTCAAGGTATGTATATTTATGTTTTCTTCAAATTCTCTAAACTAAAGGCGAAGAACAATGATGTTTTAAGCGAGTTTATTTCAAGGGGTTTTTAGTCATGCAATCGGACCATTCGCGTAATAGACTAAATTTTTATCTAAACAAAAATTTCATCACAGCTTGAAAGAGCATCACAAAATTAGTAATATTCCAAAATTTCGTTGCGAAATGTTGTAAAATGCGGATAATATAGCCCTGCGAAGTTTGCAATTTTCAGTCATTTTAGATTACAAACGGGAAATTGACAGCCTGTCAATTTCCCGTTTGTAATCTAAAATGACTGAAAATTACAAATTTCGCAAGGCTATATTATCCGCATTTTACAACATTTCGCCACGAAATTTTGGAATATTACTAAGTTTGTGATGCTCTTTCAAGCTGTGATGAAATTTTTGTCTAGACTTGTTGAGATCAAAATTTAGTCTATTACGCAAATGGTCAATTGCCAAACAGTGATTTTTGCATATTTAATGAACCAAAGTTAACTCTTTCTCGTAGCGCGTGAATTTATTTGCCCAAAATAAATAATACATTTCTGAAAAGAGCAGTTTTCCAATAGTGCTTGTTGTGCAAAATCTCATAAGATTTGAAAGGATGGCAAATGGAGAAATCTGTCCCTTTTTACACGCAATGACAAACAATAAAGATCAGTACCCGTCGCTCTTTATTGTGCACAAATGTGTTCAGTTGTTCAATTATCATAAAACCACTTTTAATAAACGAGGGAGTGATGTATCTTTAGCAGAAAGTATAATAAGGCTATTTGGATTTACGGTTTGGATACCAGGATTAAGTAAACATACGCAATTTCGGCCATTTTTCGATTGCGAAAATCGGTCCTCACAGCTGAAATATTTTTTTGCCTTTTTTTCATAAACAAAAGAGTATTTTTAAAAACTAACCATATGACGTTTCATACTTTGTCATAGTTAACTTAAATTCAAAAGTAGAGCGAATTTAAAATTTTGAGCCTTGCCGCGGTATGTTTGATTTTTGTAGAGACTCGCTCTTAAGGACAAAAGATTTTAGGTGCATGGGAATTTAAAATAGCACACTGTCAAAATTACTACACACGCGAGTGCATAAAGCAAAATTTATGCATTTATTTAATGACACTTATAATAAGTTTTTATTTTACAAGTACAATACAACAACAGTTAAATTATCAAGAGCCTTGTCAGATGCGCCTAATATGATCTTTTAGCAATTCGATTTCAAATCCCAGGGACCTAAGATCTTTAATGCTTAAGAATTGCAAAGTCAATTATTTCTTAGGAAAATCCGAGCTTGCGTTTTTTATACACCCGGTATAGGCTTAAGACATTTCTACAATTGGCACGTGTTCATATATAAAGGCCAAAAGTACTCTCTGATATAATAACCTTTTATATTAGCCCAAAACGGGAGTTTCTAATTGGAGCGGGTAGCGGGTCGCGGGTAAAAGGAGCGGGTCGCGGGTAAAAGGAGCGGGTAATTAAAAAAGGAGCGGGTAAAAGGAGCGGGTAATTAAAAAAGGAGCGGGTAATTTCCCAGGTGCTAAGCGCAGGTGGGGAATTTTAAAGAAAAAAGACATTTTTTTATGAAAGTGTATAACATGAGGACCATTTTTACTATGTGAAACCATTGACTTCACATAAAAAATCTCGAAAATTCTATCAAATGTTAAATTGACAGATATTTAACAGCCTGAACATGTCTTATCCGGTTTTTTATATACGTACATGCCTTACGTACATGGCGGCCATCATGAGTGGCTTCAAAGCTGGCGGCTAAGTTATCTTTCCAGTTCCCTTAAGCCCCGTTTACACTACGCTCAATTTTTGGTACCGTACCACTTTTTTGGTTCTTAAAAGAACCACCGTACCAATTAGGCATGGCCCGATTGTGCTCGTAAAATAAAAAAAGTTGCTCGCTAAAGCTAGAAAGTTGCTCGCTAAAAAGCATAAAAGTTGCTCAAAAGTTGCCCAAAAGAAAAAAAAAGTTGCTACTAAAATTCAAAAAGTTGCCCGTATGTATTACGTTAGTCAAGAGATTTATACAATTTTTGCACGCTCGGATGAACTTCTTGTAATTAACAATAAACGTTTTAAGTTTAACAAATAGAAGACAAATGTCATACAAATATCAACACGAATACCTAGAATAACAAATCTTCCAATAAAATAACATCGCAAGTGTTGTCTTTATAGCACTGCGTTTCTTACGCTAATTATTTGAAGTTTGGGGTTCGACGATTGTATGTCTCATATCGTATAAAAATATCGTATATTTATAAGCCGCCATTTTGTTTTCAAGAGAACACAGGCAACTGTACTCCCCTAGCAAGCAAATACCAAGGGAAAGCAAGGAAGCAGCATGCATTCAAGGGTGTATTAATATTTATTTACAGCGTATTACATAGAATATTTAATTGAGCCTGTGCACATCATGTATTACGCTGTACTGATAATAAAATTCTGTAGAATGTGCACAGAAATATATCGCAAAAAATGAAGTTGTAAACATTTCAATATTTCAAGCTGTAAAGTTTTAATTTTAGTAAAAAGCCTAAAAGTTGCTCAGAAATTGCTCAAAAACGAAAAAGTTGCTTCAAGTTGCTCGAACTGAAAAAAGTTGCTCCAAACGCAAAAAGTTGCTCAAAAGTTGCCGAGCACAATCGGGCCATGCCTAGTACCAATACGGGTACCGATTTTATCCGTGCCGTACCAAAAATTGAGCGTAGTGTAAACGGGGCTTTAGAGTTCACTGGTTTAAACTGAACGTGAGCGCCTTATTAAAACACCCTGTGTTTGGAAACTTTTGCTCTATTGTACGTGTAGTCTAAAAATGTGTATATATGCTACACCACTATCAGCCGTTCTGAATAAATTCAATGGTGTTCTGCAAACCTAAACCCTAACCGTGCAAACCGTGTTCAATATGTTCATAGTTTTCCACAGTTTGGTGAGGCAAAAGCCGAGACAGACTGTAGAGTTTTGAGTAGCACTTGTGCATGTTATAATAATTTTTGTCCATTTGGTGACCCAAAAACGTTGCGCTGGTGTGTACGTATTTTCAGCACGTCATAATAAGACATGTTCAGGCTGTTAAATATCTGTCAATTTAACGTTTGATATAATTTTCGAGATTTTTTATGTGAAGGTTTCAATGGTTTCACTTAGTAAAAATGGTCCTCATGTTGTTACACTTTCATAAAAAAATGTCTTTTTTTTCTTTAAAATTCCCCACCGGCATTTAGCACCTGGGAAATTACCCGCTCTTTTTTAATTACCCGCTCTTTCTACCCGCTCCTTTTTTAATTACCCGCTCCTTTTACCCGCGACCCGCTCCTTTTACCCGCGACCCGCTACCCGCGCCAATTAGATACTCCCGCCCAAAACAAGGCATTGCGAATTTTCTCTTGAATATTGAAATAATATCTTGCAGACTTTGCAAGACTGCTTTTAGTTGCCTTGCCATGCATGCACCATGCAGTCATTGACCATACTGCTATGCAGAGATTGACTAATTTATGGGAAGGTACACCAATGGGGCGTACATGGGGATACAATGGATTCAATGGGTTGAAATTTCTCAAGAAATTTGGCACAAGAAAGTTCACTTCAGTTAAATGGATATGGCAATATAAATGAAGTTTGTCTTATTTGAAAAAACATTTAAAATTATATATATACAGTGATGTGAAAATTACCAAAAAAAAGTAACGAGTAAAATTACAATTACTTCTCCAAAAAAGTAATTATTACTAATTACTTATTACTGTCTTTCAAATGTAATTAATTACCGATTACTAATTACATTTTTGAAAAGTAATTAATTACTAATTACTTTGAAATTACTTTCAAGTTCTCATGGACTTAAACAACAACAAAATGTTAATTCAAAAGGCAGTTCCAAAGTTAAGAGTTAAGACTCATGCAATAAATAGTATTAAATTTGGAGATCAGCTTTAAGAGTAGTGCCGACTCAAAATGGTCACCAGTTAACCGATTTCGGTGCGGGCGCATGATCAAGCCTCCACAGCTGAAAAGACGTTCAACAGCTGCACTTGCAGGCAATACGGTGTTTAACTTCAAAGCCACTTGCTTCAAAGGTGCAGCACAGTGTCCATTGTAAACTGTGGCATCAATAATGTTTAAAGCCAAGTAGGTATCTAAAGGCGATTTGGTTGCCTTCTTCTTTGACTTGAGAAATTCATCGTCATCGTCGTTTTTTTGGAAAATAATAAAGTGCCCAAAAGTAACGCAAATTACATTTTTTAAAATGTTACTCGTTACCTTCAAAAAGTAATTGATTACGTTACAAATTACTTTGGTGCAAAAAGTAATTAACGAAAAATTACCCAAAAAGTAATTAGTAATGCGTTTACTTACATCACTGTATATATATATATATATATATATATATATATAATTATTCCGTATCTTGCTTGGTTTCCGAAATAAATCGACTTATTTTGAAAGCAGCGTGCATTTCGCCATCTTGGATATGCATTCGATATACATACCTCACAAGTAGAGGGTAAAAAGTGAAATTTTTATCTTGCAAACCACCAACCTCGTCCGCAGGACCCTGGGGACGAGATTGGTAAACAGTGTCATTATCAATATGAAGTGCGATTTTCCGAAGTCTTTTTAGTACTCAATTAAGTCA